GCGCTCTCAAAGTTTCTCCCCTGGTCGGAGTGCAGTCTCTGCGGCACCCTGTACTTGAGAAACCACTCTTTCAGGAGCACCTTGGCGGTGGTATCCGCCTTCTGGTCACGTGTGGGGAACGCCTGACAAAACTTAGTGAAGACATCCGTCACCACCAGAACGTTTTCTCGACCATCAGAGGCAGGCTCCAGAGTGGTAAAATCAACAGCAACCACTTCCAGTGCTTGGGAAGCCAGAAAAGGGGTCCAGGAAGCCCGAATCTTAGGCTGCGGCAACTTAGCAAGCACACAGCGATGACAATTCTTCCTGCCCAATAACACCTTGGCTTGAGCAAGCTCAGTGTTCTCTCAATTCCCTGGTGTCCCATTTGATCATGAACACTCCGCAGCACTGGCTCAACCAAGCAAATGGGAAGTAACAGCTGTTGACGCTCGCCTAGGAATACATCATCTACTACGCGATACAGTAATCCTTCATCTTCCTTGATCTTACCCCACTGTTTAAGCAATGACCGCACTTGTCAGGGCAGTCCCCTTCTCTCACGGGCTGAGGGCTTCTTTCGGCCACACCAAAACTGCTTCAGTAGTTTTAGGAAAGGATCCGCATCTTGAAAACGACAAAGCTCCTCCTTAGTCTACCCAGGTAACGTCAGAGTGTTTCCAAGGGCAGAGTCTGAGCTAACTTTCCCCTCGGTAAGCTCCCCTAGCGCTGGTTCCAACACTGTAAGGTCTGGGCCTATGGCTGTTCCCCAATGTAGCTCACTGTATTACAACGACCCGGTCGGTAGCAGATCTCAAAACTAAATGCAGCTAGTTGGGCCACCCACCGCTGCCCCACTGCTCCCAGCTTCGCCGTGTTAAGGTGACACAGCGGATTGCTGTCAGTGAGAACAGTGAACTGAGACCCCAGTAGATAGCCCCTGAACTTCTCTACTACAGCCCACTTTAGGGCCAGGAGTTCCAGTTTCATGCTGCTGTAGTTGCGGTCATTGCGTTCGGCACCTCTCAGCCTCCTACTTGCATAGGCAATTACTTTCCTCCTCACATACTGAAGCTGGTAAAGGACAGCACCCAGGCCCAAATTACTGGCATCTGTCTCCAACACGAATGGAAGGGAGAAGTCGGCATATCCCAGTACTGGAGCACAGGTCAGCTCCTTCTTGAGATGTTCAAATGCCTGCTGGCATTCAGATGTCCAAGAGCCTTGAAATAGCTTGTCACCTTGGGACCCACTGCCCTCTTTGGTGCACAAATTTACAATGTCGTGCAAAGGTCTGGCCACCTTGGAGAAACCCGCGATAAATCGACGGTAATAACTGCAAAATCCCAAAAAGGACCGCAGTTCCTTCACTGTGCTAGGCACTGGCCACTGCACTACTGCACTGACTTTGTCCGGGTCAGGACCTACCCCTTGGGCCGAAACTTGATGTCCTAGAAACCTTACCTCTGCTTGGAGAAAGTGGCATTTTTCCACGTTAATCTTTAACCCTGCTTCCCTCAGCCGGCAAAATACTGTTTCAAGTCTAGACAGGTGTGCCTCGAATGAACTCAAATAGACCAAAAGATCATCCAAGTAGACAAGAACCATCTGGAACACCAAATCCCCCATTACAGCCTGCATGAGTCTCTGAAATGTTGCCTGTGCGTTACAGAGACCGAACGGCATCCGCACATATTCATACAGTCCGAATGGCATGACAAAGGCGGTCTTATACTGATCTTTCTCGTGCATTGCTACTTGGTGATAGCCACTCACCAGATCTATGGTTGAAAACACTTGGGCATTACACAGTGCGTCTAGACTCTCGTCTATCCTCGGCAGGGGAAATGCATCGCGCTGGGTCTTCGAGTTCAGTTTCCGGTAGTCTACGCACAGCCGCAGACTTCCGTCAGTCTTCCTGACTAGGACCACCGGGGACGCATATGGGCTTGAGCTTTCCTTAATAACCCCCTTCTTCAGCAATCCAGTAATATGCTCCCTCACCTCCTCAAACTGGTTGGGAGGTATCCGTCTGTACGCTTGAGCGACAGGCACGTCATCGGTCACGGGAATCTCGTGTTTCACCCGATCAGTGTACCCAAGATCCTCGTCACACGCTGCGAACACATCCGCGTACTCCCTCAACAATGCTCGCAATTCTGCCTGCTGAACTGGAGTCCCACCCATTTGTACCCTGTCCAAGGGACACTGCAAGTCACCTTTGGTCTCCGTCATCGACCTCACGCTGACAGTGACTTCCTCATGATCTCTGGAAATCCGGCGGAATGCTACGTTACAGGCCCCCCTGTCCACCTGATAACCTCGGGAAAGTACCCCAAGCCTGGCTTTTGGTGGTAGCCACACATCTTGCAGTGCCAAATTCAGAACCCGTACAGGAAACACCCGTCTTTCAACCGACACCACCATGAGCACAAGAACCAAACCCCCTGGCAATGGCATTGCCCCAGGTTCAAGCATGATCACACCCTTAGTCATGGGCAGCTTCTTACTAACTCGAGCCTGAACCATGGCAACTGAGGCCGCCGGCACACGCGTTTTAAATCTTCCAACTATTCGAACTGTAGAGTTTGCTCCCATCAGGGCCTCGACATGCACCTTACTAAAAACATCCCGCCAATCTGAGTCTAGCGATCCTGCCAAGGCATTATCAAACTCGGCCATAATCAGCTGTTTGCAGCGCTGAGCAATATTCATGCCGAGTATGCCTGGCAGTGAATGATCAACTTCTCCATCTTTCTGGTCTCGGACTATCAAGAATCCGCAGCCAGGTATCGTTACTCCCATCACCTGAATATCCAACTCGACGTATCCCAAATATGGGAGGGGTAATTTATTAGCAGCTGTAATCCGCAACCAGTTTGAGGTGCTGTGCATATCTCTATCTTCCCCAAGTAAGTGCTCTCTAAAAAAACGTTCCGCCAATGTGCTCACATTGCTACCTGTGTCCAAAAGACACTTGACACTTTTTCCCCCTATGCTGATCTCAACCTCAGGGCATTGGCCCACTGCCCGTTCCAAGAAACGCTCCTTAGTCAGTGAGCTGTTGCTTGAGCCATGGACACCCCCTCTCATTGCTCGGCTCTGCGCAATGGAGGGACCCTGTTTTCCGGCTCCATTATTTCTCCAGAGGCCGACACCTGACCTTCCTGATTAAGCCGCACCGTACACTGGCGGGCTATATGTCCCGCAGCTTCACACCTCAAGCAAATTGGCTGACCGTCCCGCGTATATCTGGGCCTAACCGTAGCCCTTTGGGGCCTTTCCAAACTTGAACTGACTCTTTGAGCGGTGAGGTTGCGGACCGCGTTTGTTAGCTCTCTGATCGCTTTCCCTTGTTGAACGACTGCCTTCACCACCTCCTGCAAGACAGCATTCAGGTCTCCCGAAGACGATGCACCCACATTCTGGGACCTTGTACCCTCTTCAACACCCAGACCCATCAAGTAACGACTTCTAGCAATACTCGCACCACGGGGACGATCTTCTGCACACCATAACAGAGCTTCCTCTCTGACCTCAAATAGTGTCACACGAGGTCGATCCCGCACTATCTTGCGCAATTCCCGACGGAGTATGGAATCCCTTACTCCTTCCACAAACTGATCCCTTAGTGCTACCTGCACATCCTGCACTGCATTAGGCGACTGCTGGAGGGCCGCGTTTAACATTGTCGACAAGGAGTGCGAATACTCTCTGAGATCTTCCCCCTCTAACTGTTTCCTTGCATAAAAGGCATGTAAAAGCTGAGGGGTTGTACGCTTCTCACGGAATGCAGCCCTCAAATATGCAAACAACTCCCGCGGTTGTGCATCCTCCCCCCCCATACACAGTTTAACCTCATCCAGAGCCGATCCCGTCAAGTGTGACAAAATAAAGTCTACTTGATCCTCTTCACTCAGTCCCCTTACACGAATAACTCATTCGAGTTCCTCAATAAACTCATCTACAGTCTGGCAATCTTTACTAGCGTCACCACAGTAAGGAACAATTTGCTTTTCCCTGGGAATATAGACATAAGACCTGGTATTACCAGTGCTCAGCCCAGCAAGTGTTGACATCACCTGATCGTGTCTCCTCCCCAGCTCCTGTATTTGTGACCGGAGTTGTAAGAACACTCCCTCATCATCGTCAGCGCCAGCCCATGGGCAATCCTCCCCCCCAGGTGGCTCCCTCCTTAGAAACGTCCGCCTCCATTACCCTATGCCTCAGGTATAAAGGGTCTCAGTCTCTGTAGAGTTTACACAAAACAAAGTCCAATGCCACTCCCTCTTTCCAACTGGTCCTGGCACCCTGGCTGCTTGTTTTCCTGCAGTCCTTCCCGCCTCTGGGCACGGCTCTCTCTCTTCAGTGGAAGCTGACAAGTGACCCTCCTTCCACCACTACCGTTGTCTATCTCCCCACGCAGACTAACAGTTAATATTTGACTCATGGAAAGAAAAAAAACACTCCCCCTAAGAGGAAACCTTACAGAAGGAATGAACCCCACTCCTGGTACCAAAAAGATGTGGCCGTGTGAATGTGTAAACTCTTAAAGAAACTCAAACACTGCCAAGTATCTAAACTAGTGGTTCTCTATTTCCGACCGCATATGCAGAAGACGCGGCATTAATACTCAAGGTTTTCCATGAAGGGGAGTTGTGCCGATGAAATGTATACAGTGAAGAATAAACACAACCAAAAGCACGCTTCCCCAAAGGTATAAAGAAACAAACCAAAAATATAAGCACTTCAAATAGTGCTCACAGTTACCGAAATAACTTCAGGCCAGTTTCGCCAATTCCCCTTTTTTCCCTTTACCAAGATAGCCCCACAGTAACAAAAAAAGTAAAATAAATAAATAAATTAAACACAGTACAAATAAATTGGTGTGAGCACTTAACCCCCTGGATAAACAACGGTAGTGGCTTATAATGCTTTCTAAAGGAAGAACAAACATAGAATATAATCAAATATACATTCTCATCAGCCACTTATAACTTTTGACTAAATAAATTCAAGTAAATCCATTTTACACTCTGTACATCTCTATTAATATTGTTATTACTATCTTCTTCTCCAAGAACAGATCATTAATTAACTCAAATTGACATTGACATCAAAACAGTAAACAACTAGTGACCATTTTCTCTGAGTATACAGATACATTTCCCAAACCCGGATGAAATCAATATTACTCACTCTGTGGCGTGCTGCGTCACATTAGAAATTCACCCAGCTGTCACCTCACATGCACCTTCACGTGCCTTCGTTCTCCCCTCTAGTATTATTTTATTAAAGGAGAAAGAAGTTTGGTTTACTTTCCCTTCCACTTCACAACATAAATGGCATGTCCTGAACTCAACGTTCACATTAAATGTCACTCACGCTCGATTTCCGCAGCCTGCACGATTCCTCTACGCAGATATTTCTCTTAATACGAAATCTGTGTGATCGCAGACTGCTCCAAACTGCTCAGCGACCAGACCAACACCCAACCGAGGAATTCCCATTTTTTCCCTGTCCAAACAACAGACGGTGTTGGCTTCCAGTCCACGCACTTCAACTCACTCGTGTCCGGGATGCCTCAATCATAAAAACCGTTCCCCCGAAATAAAACACTCTCTTTCTTTTCATTTTTCTCACTGTGCTGCTCAGATGCACGGGAGTGCCCCCTAATGACGGATAGGCATGACCGCTGGCAATTCTTATGATGATTACTCTTTGACAAATGCAGACATGGTTTTATGTTTACGCGGCGCGATGCAAGCAATGCATAAAAAGACAGTATAAGTCACCGCATAAACACATTTCATTACACCAAATACACAAAATAATGTGTCATCATATGACCCCATTAAACCTTTTATATGTTAGGTCCATACAAAAAAATAGGGTTGTCCATGTTTCAGAATTTGTTGTGGGTGTATATGAGTGTGAGATTTCCCGGCCTGAAATTTTCCCCCAGTCCGCCCCTCGTGGAAATTAATGGCTCAGACATGCGGTTTCATTTACTACACATAGGCCTACTGAGGCTTGTGGTGTTTGCAGCCTCTGCTGCCTCAATATATGAGTACATGAACACATAAACATAATCTCTAGAACTGCTCTGAGTCACTTATTGAGCATTTTACTTATTTTGAGAAAACTATCATCCTATCATATACAAAGAGACACCAATGTTTCAGGAGTTTAGTTCCCAGAATAGGACACATGCTTATTAGATAACCGTATTTGAGTTGATGTAGCCTATATGCTTTTATTTATTATTATTTTTTGATTAACAATTTTTTTTTCCAAACCATTATTAGATGCAGTGTTTCCTGTAGTTATGCAAATATTTTGGTTTCAAAAACAGTATCAGTAAACTATTTCTTATGATTTTAAATCTGCATTGAACTTCAGATCAATCTCAAAGTAAAATGCGGTACTAAAGTCTGATTTTGTGGTGGATGTGTTCAAATGTGATCATCTTAATTCAAGTGATGAAGGATTTTGAAAGTCTGACAGTGTTGAGCACTACTGTAAGGTTAAACCCTGCATGGTGTAAATGTTTGAAAATGATTAACAGTTGCAAATAAACATTCATTAGAAATTTAGAAAAGTAATCAAAAGTAATCAGTTACATTACTTTAATAACGTAATTGAAAAAGTTACACTACTATTACATTTTAAATTGGGTAACTTCCAAAGTAACCTTCCCAACACTGATTATATCCATATTCTCATGTAAAATAACTAGTGTTGATTTTTTTTGTTTTATCTTTTATTTAATTAGATCAGGCACCTGTCACATCCAGCACGGCACATACACATTTGCTTGCGTCCTTTCTTTCTCCTTTGAGGAGTGAAGCCGTCGGTCTAAGCAAGGTACTTTTATTTTGACACCTACAAGAAAGGCTCTTCTCCTAACGCCATGTTGAACAGCACATGCTGATATCATTATCGCATAGATTGTATTGCATGTCTAAGTCTCTCAGTGAGTATATCATTCTGTAAACAAGCTGCTTGGCTTCATATCCGCGTGTTCTGCATTCGTAAGCGCTTAGATTATCCTCATATGTTAGCAGTTAGCATGTGCGGTTGTGTCTGTGCACTCCGTGACGCTTTGGATAGATACTAACGTTAGCTGTTCAGATTACTCACTTGAAATGTGGGTGTTGTTATAAAATGTGTTGATTTGTCCTGTACCTCCGCGTGTGTAGTCATGGAAACAGACGCGTCGCTCCTCGGCGTTGAACTAGAGCAGAAACAGCAAGAAGAGCTGTATCAACAACTTTTGCTGCAGGTAACCGCTTTGACACAACTCAGCTAAAATGATATATGTTATGTAAGTATTATATGGGAAATTATAGTAAGTGTTATAGGAAATACTGTATACTGTATTTTCGAAGCAGTGCAATAATACCTATTACACTTTAAAAGTCGAGCGTCACAGTAAACGTTTCATTTCTTGTGCAACAAAAAAATGCACATTTAAAGGGAAAGTTCACTCGAAAATGAAAATGCTCGTCTTTTACTAAACACAAAAGTCGGTTAGGAGGTTAGAGTTTAGGGACTGACAGACTCAGTCACATTGAGTTTTTTTTTTGTGTGTGTGGAAATGAATTAAAATACATTATGCCTGAGATTGTCAGTCACTGACTTTCTCAGGCCTAACCATTTTCACCAAGAAATTAGATTATTCGTTTTTTTTATCCAACCTTACAGACCATGGGAAAAGTGCAAAGCGAAAGTCCCCCTTCCAAAGTCATCCGTCCACAACCAGGTTAGTCTGATATTTTACAAAAATTTTCTTAGGACTGGTCAGGACCATTATATTTTGAGACCTGTCTGAATTTATCCTCTTTATGCCAGGCATGTGCGTGAAGACCTCCTCAATGTCAGACAAAAAGAAGGTCTTTCTGAATATCTGTCAGTCACAGGCGGTGCCGCCCCCTCCTCATCTGTCCCAGGAAGCACTCGTGGAACTACTGGAGTCAGAGGACCCGACGAGTTACAGAGTGCCCATGAGTCTCGGCGAGCCACATACAGAAGTGGACAACAGTGAGAGACATTCACGTTTTCAAATTTACTCCATTCTCCTTTTATTATCATTTCCATAATCCAAACTGAAATGTATTGTTTTAATGCAAGGCGGAGTCTAATCTGGTTGACACCAACCATATACAGTAATGAATATAATCATAAGGACACAAACCATATAATGACTTTCATATATGTGACCCAAAACCAGTCATAAGGGTCAAATTTTTTTAAATTGAGATTTATGTATCATCTGAAATAAATAAGATTTCCATTGATGTCTGGTTTGTTAGGATAGGACAGTATTTGGCCGAGATACAACTATTTGCAAATCTGCAATCTGCAATCTGAGGGTGCAAAAAAATCAAAATATTGAGAAAATCACTTTTAAAGTTGTCCAAATGAAGTTCTAAGCAATGCATATTACTAATCAAAAATTAAGTTTTGAGATATGTACGGTATGGTTTTGGCTATTGCTACAAATATACCTGTGCTACTCATGACTGGTTTTGTGGTCCAGGGTCACATATGATAAGGAAGTATCAAATTCAAATATTCTTGAAGTGCATTTAAGATATTATGTTTGCCAGGCTCACAAGGCTGTACTGTGTATGATGTCGTGATCAACGATGAGTTCTTCCAGAAATGTCAGGTGTGTGTCTTATATTTGAATGTACGCACTGAAAGTACCTCGGAAATATGTGACTGCATTCATGTCTATCACTGTGACTGTTTGTACCCAACAGAAAGATACCCTGTTCCAGCAGTTTCTTATTGCAGTTTCTTTGGAGGGACTGGAAAACAAGTACAACCTTGAGTTGAGCAGAGGTCAGACTAAATACAGCAACTAACTTTTCCATTAAGGGGCCATATTTGCTGCCTGGAATTAATTTCCAGGGGCTTTTTTTTCTTTTTCTTTTGTGAGGGCGATTTTTTTAAATTACATTAAAGGGGTCATATGATGCTGCTAAAAAGAACATTATTTTGTGTATTTGGTGTAATGAAATGTGTTTATGCGGTTTAAAGAAAAAAAAACACATTATTTTCCACATACTGTACATTATTGTTTCTCCTGCAGTGGTAAATCCTTTAAATGTAAACGTACTTACAGTCAGAACTGCCGGCATTGTAGTCTAACGTTACTCTCCCAGGATCAGTAAACAGTCGTCCATAAAATGTGCTGCACACATCTGGATATTTGGGTTAAACTGTTCTGAAACAGTGTTGTAAATACAACTTAACCACTGATTTGTAGTCGTGTCCTCTTTTGGAAGACCAAACAAAGTAGTTTCGCTTTCACAACGAAAAACACAGCGGCCTAGCGTGAGGGGAAGCCCCGGCTTAGTGTGCGCTGAGGCCGGGATAGAGTGAGCTAGAGTTAGCTGAGGCGGCGGGGTCGAGAACGGCACGCCTGGCAGATGCGACGAATGAGCGGCAACCACATGTGACGACCCCGGGCTGGACTCCGCTTTGTCCACGGTGAAAGTTGATGTATTCCCTCAGCGACCAGCACAGATCAGCTCCAGGCATGACGAAGCGGATATCGTCCTCTTTTGGAAGACCAAACAAAGTAGTTTCGCTTTCACAACGAAGCACACAGCGTCTTCATGACATGGCTGCAGCATCAAAACTACAGTGAGAATAAAAGTTACGCCTTCTTTCTTTGTGTGAACATTTGGGCGGCATAGTGAGGTAGATATGTGGGGGCGTGTTAGAACGAGCCATTTTAGGTAGGTGTGGCTGACTCTGAAATTTTATAAAGAATATCTCTTTGGATTTGAGACTTTAGTCTTTGCAACTTTACAGATCTTCTTTATGCACCAAGAGCTTGTAACACTCCAAAGAGAAAGGAACAATTTAAATTGCATCATATGACCCCTTTAAATGTATCTGTGTGTTTTGTCAATGTGTGATATGTCAGCTACTTAAATTTAACCAGTTACTTCAATCATCACAATACTATAGACTGTTACCAATTACATCAACAAAAACCATCTTTACACTGCATCTTTACACAAATGCAGCTTCTGTTGGAACAGAAGCTGCATTTGACATGGCATTTATCTACACAGACTGCTCATGTATGTATTTACACAAAAATTGCAATGAAAATAGCTTATAAATAAAAAAACAGGGTGAAGCTGCAATATCATGGCATGCATGAAGTCATTGTTGTTACTTATTGCTCTTGTTATTACAATAATGATCATTAATGTCGATTAATAAAAAGGTTTTTTTTGGGGGGGGTAGCATGTCATATTCTGGCTACAGACAAAAACTAAGAAATGTTAATGAATTTATGTCATTTTACAGATTAGAAAATCGAAACGTCACATTGGTTTGTTTCAGTAGCATGAAAAACAAAATGGTTAGTCAAACTGGGAATAAATTAAATAAAGTGAGATATGCATTTTTGCTGTCTACACTGCAAAATACATCTTATGATGAGAGAATTCAGCATTCAGTGAGTGTGTGCACTGAAAAACTCAAAAACACTTCTGATTGGACATTGCATTCATAAGCATCAGCAGAAACATGGGTGATTGGTTATAATGCTCAACGCTGCAAAACATGCATATAAAGAAATCTTACGCAACATGAGCAAATCCACTGTAAATGTAATGACACATTTGATTTCACTTTTCACTTTAATTGTGTCAGCCGTAATAAGTCTAGCTTAATTGTGTAGGGACATTTTTTCCCCCCCTTATCTGGAATTTGGGGGAGCAAAGCCACCGTTAATTTCCGATCATACTCTGCATGTGTCTAGTTCAGAAAATGCCTCTTCATGCCATGTCCATTGATCCTATCATTTCCTTTTTCTTTTTTTTTCAGATGTTAAAATTTTGAAGAACAGGAAGTTCATGGGCTCCATAGCAGAACAAAATATTCGTGCCAAGAGCAAGCCTATTATCCAGGAAATTGACTCAAAGTGAGTTCTTCTTCAAAATGAGTCTTATTGGGGTGGTGCTCAATCAGGTTGTGAGAACGAAAATAAATAATACTTAAGAAGCCTACTAATGTACTGGAATCAGCCGTTTGTTTCAGAAAATTCAGATGTTGTTCAGAATAGAACTACATGGTAACATCATAAACTATAAAATTACAGTAAAACAGTGATTAAAACAACTTTACTGTTAACAATTTGTTTTGACTCTAACAAAAGGTTTTGTAAAAAGCACATACCGCTCATGGGACAGCAGAAATACAGCGGCTACCCTGTACACAAAGCAGTACTGCGTCTATAAATATCAAAGTATTGACAAGAAAATGGGATCTAAACTTTTCTGAAGACAATCAGTTCCCTTCAAATGCATGTTAAACTTACAGCACATGAATTAATGGGGTTCACTAGTCTATCTATTTGAATTGAGAGTGAGAAAGCACAACTGGTATCTGTGCATAAATACTGCGGAAAATTAGTATTTGAGAATCGATATTTATTGAAAAATCTTAATATGAAAATAAACATAATTGGGTTATATTTAATAATACACGATTTTAGTGTATTTTATTGGTATTGAATTGGCCAAAATAGTGGCATTCTGCAAACAGCTCTGTCAATAGATAGTAAACATTTTGCTTTCAGATAAAGGATCCGCACTCGCTGTATCTTCTTAATGACTTGTAATTTATTTTAATTTTGCAACAGAGCAATTGACAATCAAACGTTTCGGCAACAAGCCTTCTTCAAGGAATCATTTTTATTAATTTCCAAAAAATATTTGTAAAGTGTGCTACAAAACCTCCATTAATTATAACAAAAAATGCAAACAGTGGTATGATTGAAGGTGACTTGCCTCTGAACGCAACAAGAAAAGACAACTAAAATGGGCTGACATCTCTGGATCAGTATTGCAAAGGAAGGAATTTTGCTCAAATTAGTATTTTGTTGCCATTTGCAGCCACCATGTTCATTTTCCCGCCATACTGCCATCTGTCCCTGGAAGTAAAATCAACACAGTGGATATATAATTGCTGGACTTTTTTCCACTTGGTGCTCTATCCGTTGTGCTAGGTTTTAAGCATCAACACAGATGTGTTTAGTTGAAATGGAGTGGAACATTTCCAAAACAGATATTCATTCCAGTACTGTAGATTAATCAACACATCATTACGGTCTTGCTGAGGAAATAACAGTTAGTCCTTCATGTGTTAAAAATACAAAGAATCAGAAAAGTGTGCCATTTCTTATTCATCTATTCACATGTATTCATTCATTATTAAATGTGTGTGACTGCCCCTTTAAGACTTCTGAACAGCAAAGTTTTCAGTTATAGCTTTCTTGCAACAGAAGGCCCTCTGGCAGTGTTCAAACAAGTTGGGTTATACAGCATTGTAACAAAATAAATAGTTGTTCATCATACTTGACACCTACTAGGTGTGCCTGAAGGAGGGGTGAGATTTCGATTCTTTACTTTGACGTTCATTGATGTATTAGTTATTCATCATTGTCTATTAGTGCGGAAGTGGTATATTTACAGTTGAAAAATTCAATTATGGATAATAATTATCTCATCGCAAGCCCCTTGTGTGTTTGATTCTTTAATATTTTGTCTAAAAATTGTGCTTTCAGCTACCAATAAGATTTTTATACTTACTGTTTAACACATTTTACTAAAGTGAAATAGTTTTCACAGAATGCTGCCAAATTTGTTCAAAAATCAATGACGCATTCTGTCTGGACCTGTTCCTAGTTATCAGTGACACTTTGTCTGTCTGTTACTGTGCATATGTGTCATGTGATTAGTGATTTGTCAGTGTGTGCGGTCCATCTGTGGCTCATTGCTCTTTTGTGCACCTGATCCCATTCTGATTGTTGACCTGCTGAGTAGCTATAACTGGAATTCCTCTAATCACTTTGTTCTCTGTGGACAGGGAATCTGACTCCTTGCCTTCATCAACCAAACGGTATGTTTATTTTAAGTTGTTTTTTTTTTAAATGCATTTGTAAATTGCTTGGTGTGTCCCTTTCGTGTTTTGCTGTCACTTATGTTTGACAACCCAGAGATGAGTGCAAAGACTTAGTTTTGCCCCATTTGTTATGCTCAGTGTGATATATACAATTGGTTATTGTGAGGCAGAACTTTACCTGCAACTTAATAATTTATGCCTTTATTGTGCTTCATTAACTCCAGTCCAGAGTTCAGTTTATTAGTGGAGCCCCCAAGTGGAAATGCAGAGCATCTGATCGCTGAGATCCTGCTTCCTGGAGTGGTGAGTAATGAAGGCCTGGTTTTGGACTACGTTCAACTACATGTTAACACAAAGTATGAGATTCGAGGCTTTGCCATCTTCTTCACTAGATATCTGCTTGCTCTCTTGTTCTGGATTTGGGAGAAGACAGACTAGTGCTGATTGCTCGATCTTCTCTTTTCCACTTGGATATTTTCTTTCCCCTTCTTATTGACCAAGAAAACAGTGTTGCCCAGTTCAACACAAACACACAGGTGAGTTCTTGTCAGGATAGCATTGCCCAATTTCAAGTCTTTTTGTATAGACTTTTCTTAACCGCTACACAATGACCACTCTTTGACCCATTATATTAGTGCTGGTGTGGATTTGCAGTATGTCTCATACAGTCTTTTCCTATTTTCTTTTCAGACGCTCACAGTGACCATGCCAGTATTGTCTTCATAAAAACTATTGCAAGGCTATTACTTCATAATAAACTTCATTTTGTATACAGAGTGTTATGCGTGTTGCTCAATAAGATTTAATCTGTAACTAATTATATAAAGGTTGAATATATAACCTAATTATATATGTTTTTTTACTCTACTTTCTGCCAGGGATTATTATAGAACTGTGTTCTTTAAACCGCAAAGAGAGAAGAAAGACTGTTATGTTAAGAGTTTGTTGAAGGACATTCTGGGCTCTGATGAGTGCAAAGGCTCAATGTTTGGTGTAGTCCCACAGGAAATACGATTTGCATATTTGGGGTTTTTCTTAATCAAGAACTTTGTTGGTGCTTTGATTAAAGCCCAATGCAATGTAAATAGAAGCAAACACTGCATTTTCTAGTGAAGTAACATGGGAAAAAGTTAGTATTCTTGAAGTATGGCTTGAAAGTCACAATCTAGAGAAACTCTATTTTTAAAAAGAGCTGGAGAACCACTGAACTGGCGTTGATTGGAATAAATGTCCACTATGTAATTGTGAGCAACCTAAACAAACTCTGGAAGGACTATGAACCAAATATTGATTCAAGAAATGACTGCCTAGTTCTAAATAAATAAATAAATGTTCTTCAATAAAACTGTGAGTAGAAAATGTGACTAGAAAATTCATGTTCACAGAAAGAAAATAAAGTGTCCATTGTAAAGACTCAAAGTTATTGTAATCTGCTGGTAAAAGATTTCCTTTTACAACAAAATAACTGAATCGTAATCTATTAAAGTCTGTTGTATTGCCATTCAGCCAAAGGCCAAGTAATTTCGCAACAAGGCAACAATTGTGCAAGCTGAACATGTTGCCTTTGACCTCACTGCATATATCAGCAACTTTTCCATCTACTGGAACTTCAATCAACTATCTGCAGGGTTAGTATTTTGGCTAATTATCTAAATTAAAAAAAGGTAGAAGGACAAACAAAACTTTCTTTTATATTCCTGACCAATACCTACAAGAAATGGGAGCCCATCCATTTACCTCTAAGTTGTCTTAGCCATTACCTTATTTTACATTGTGTCGAATAGAAAATATGTCTTCTGGGAAGAATTGTGTCTAAATCCCCTGTGTTATTTTTGTTCCCAACTGTCCCTTTGTTTTTTTTCCTATCTCTTTTTATATCCCTGTGTTTGTTGTGTGAGGTCATTCCCACTGTCTCCCCTAATCCCTCGTGGTGGTCATCTTTCTGTCCCAGGGTTCATTTCTAATCCATCCATGGTCCTATGCCGTAGCTGCTAACACCCTCCATCTGTCCCTGTCCTCATATAAAAACAAGCCATTGTCCCGCATTACAAAACTCTCATAATTCACGGGGACTGTCCTCTCATCCTTTGTGTGCCTGTTTATCATCCACTGTGAACCCATCCTACCATCACCAAAAGGTAAAAGTATTTTTTGTAACTTCTCAAACAATTGCATTTTTAGTCATATCTTTCCATCTGGAGAAAAGTAATTGAATTTTCAGTATTTTTCAGAAGGTCTGTTGATTTCAAGTTCTTGTGTGCAATTACAGTATAATAATGTTAGTTATCCATTATTGTGTTTTAGTGTCCTGTACCAGACGTGTGCTTATGTAGGACACAAAAATTGATGTAATTAAGTAACTAAAGGCATAACAGTATGTAGTTCGCCAATGATGGTCATAACCTGCATACATCTTCCTGGCATAATTGCCTGTAGTAGTCTGCACTGATTTGTGCAGCATTTGATTTAGTCTTAGACCAAATGGACTTACGAAACTATGAATAAAATTCACTTTCAGAGCAATAAAGATTCGTAACTCATATAATCTCCCCCTGCGTCCTTGGCTAAAATTAACCCGTCAGAATTCTGTGGTTAATGCCGCTATGACCTCCCATAACCTTACTCGCCTCTCAAATGCCCTCTCTGTCTTCCACTTTCTCATCCTGTTGTCTCTTGCGTCTATCCCTACTTGGGTTGATCCAGAGCAAGGGGCATCTTCTGTTTGTAATTTGATCCTTTTGTGCAGAAATGGCCAGACTCGTCCTCTTTAGATGCTGAGAATCTCATTAGCAAAGTAGCAGCAAGGTGAACTGTTGAAAGGAAGCTGGTTTTAGATGGGCACTGCATGTGCTTGCAAGCCTTTGTCCAGAGGCGGTAAAGTACAAGATGTGTGGTGACAGCTACATGCCTCATAAATTCTCTCTGGCGATGACACTGTAGTTATAAAATTGTTTCAAATAGCAGTTATGATATGGCACTGATGTGACTGATGAGGCAGAGGGAAAGGAATCTGACAGCGGAATGTTAATGACTGCAATTATATAGTATGACAGTCATTAACTGCAATTCCCGCAATCAAATCCATAAGATCCAGTTAGGGAGGTTAGCCAGGTTCACAGCAATTTGCTGCCTTGTCCACATAGCTGACAGTTGTGCAAAACAGAACTAGGTGCTACAGAACTAACATGTCTGAAACAGTAGTAATGGAAGAACCGAACGAAGAAAGTGTCAGAAATCGTATCTGACCCTGTCTTTGTCTGCGCATTCCCACCTGTTCCCACCCTATCAGTCTTCATATGAAGCATTCAATCAGATGTCAGCACTTTGGGACAATGGAACAATTTAGATCTGATGCTACTTTGGCTTTGTCACTGTCTCCTGCTCACTCATCCTCTTTTCTAAAGCTATTACGAAATGTTAAGCTATTTTTCCATGTACTGTCTGTCTCACTCTCGCTTTCTCTTCCTCCTTCTCTCATCCAGTTTCACCATGTCTGATGTAGAGGAGGAATATGAGTGAGTAATGTTTTTTTTTTTTCTATCATTACTGATTATCGGTCTAATAAAGCATTACATTTACTGTGATTTTTACTCATTCCTTTTCTTTTCCTAAATGGCCTCATAGTGAACAAGCAGAGGGTGAGTAGAATTGTTCTGTTTTTTGTTTTCCCTCTAAAACTTTAGCTTTAGTGATTATCAGTAAATCCTTGGCATAATGTGTACCCAGAGGCCAGTTATAGATGTCTCTCGAGGCCTTCCTGAGCTTCAGTTGGTTTCACGGAGCTATGCATGAGTCTGATTGGGTGCTTAGGCTTTTCACAATGCCTTTTCCTGGAAGGGTTATTATTACAGACTGATCTGATCTCATGCTGCTGTTGGCGTACATCCCTAACAAATGGTGTACACTTACATAATCCTTTGCACACACTTATTTATATACATACTCATATTCTCTCCTGATTGTCCTCACGTGCTCTCTTGATATTCACTTATGTTTTCCTTTTCCTCCGTCATCTTGTCATTGTGGTTTGTTTATTTGTGAGAAGCAGAGGAGGAGGAGGCTGCAGAGGATGCAGGAGCAGGTAAAATAATACCTCATCAAGAGTTCAAAACAAAGTCTCTTGAAAGTCAATTAGAAAATAATAGGCCATACAAAATTAAATATTACAAAATATGAGATAGTATGTAATGCAGAAAGTGACACCAGCCGAAATAGTGTGAAAGTGAGGCAGCAGCTGTAAAATTCAGCACAAAGTCACATGACTGGGAGTAGAGCTTCAATCACAAGCTGAATGGCTCATCACACTGTTTTGGGATTATTTCCACTGATTATGTTCATAACTGTATGTACATTAATACGTTACATGTGAATCAAAATTAACTAGATGTAATCTGTAAAATTAAAGGAACACTCCACTATTTTTGAAAATAGGCTCATAAATTTTTCCTAATTTTCTACACTTTGGTCATTTTTGAGCGAGATGCTAACGGTCTAATCAGATTCAATGATCTATGCTAAGCTGCAGCTAAAAGTGCTACCGCCAGACCCGGAGATCGGCTGAATGGATTCGGATGGAAAACTCAACTGTTTAAATCTAGGGGAGCTGGAAAATTAGCCTATTTTCAAAAATAGTGGAGTGTTCCTTTAAAGCTGCACCTCTGTTTCTGCAGCCATCATTTGTGATGTACTGAAAATGTATGGTCCAAAAAGGCACATACAAAAATAGGCAATAATTCTCTAGTTCATATTTTCAGATGAAGGTAAATGTATCTTTCTTGATGTTCATGACAGACAAAGTACTTGAGGACTTGTAATGCATAATAGAAAGAAATAGAAATAAAAGAGATAATAGAAATAAAAGAGAAGTGGATTGCTGAAGTAATCAGCTGCACTGTAATGATTGGCAAAATTTAAACTTTCCACAAAATTTTTGAGTAATGTAATAATGTTAATAAAATTGATAACAACATTTGATTTAGTTTTAATAATAGTATGGTAATAAAAACATAGTAAATTAGTATATTGATGTAAAAAAAAGTCAAAATCCACATTCGATCAAAAATCCACATTCGATCAAAACATATTTTATCCAAGAAGACATGCAGAAACGGAGCAAGAGGAAGGCAAATAAGGACAGATAAGGATTACTGAGGACTGAATGCCAAGATTCTCTGTATCTGTTAAAGATATTGATATGTTTGATTTGTTTTCATGTTTATTTGTTGAATCTATATTACAGAACAGCAGGAGTATACAGAATATCAAGGTACTTGATACAAAGACATGCACCACCAGAATGGCATGTAAAATATAAACCTTAGGGAAGATTGTGCATGTAACATGCATTTTTAGTATTGTGTGTAAGGGCTGTGTTATATTTAATAAATCACGTAGTCGGTAATCTGAAATATAACTCTTCATTTTAGACATGTGTAATGCAAATAAATGTTGTGTTTTTGTAAACATTTGGCTGCACACTGTGGAACACATTGCATTTTTTTTTTTCTAATGAAATGAGCGCGAGAGTATGGTGCATGCCCAGTCACACAATAAGAAATTGGATTGCAGATTTGCATTATGTCTGAACAGTATTTTTTTCACGCATCGTTATTATTTGTCAAATGTCTGCTTATCTACTAATTTTTTGACCATGTTATTTCCACGTCGCCCATTGTTCTCTGTTGCTAATATGTTCTTGCATTTTTTCATCAGAGGAGACTCAGGAAGAAGGTGAGGGATTTTAGTTGAAAATATTTACTTTGACTCTTTTCTTTATTAGTGGGAAGAGTCTCTAAATATTTGATCAAATTCAACTTTTGTGGCTCTTTTGTGTTACTCTTCAGACTGACATGTTTTTTCCCAACCCAAAATGTTATATTAACTGTAATAAATCACTGAAGAGTTCTTAAAGGAACCCAGTGACAGCTGTGTCCTTTAGTCTTGTGTTGCATCAGAGGGACCAGCTTTATTTAAAAGAATTTCCAGATATTTATAAAATGGGAAAATGTCAAAAGGAGGCAGAAAAACATATTTCATACAACCAGTGTAATTCAGTATGACGCCCCACAAAAGTCAGCAGGACTAGTGGACTATTGTACAGTTGTGTGTAAATAGGAAGGGCTTTGACTACGTTTGAAAAGAACTTCCTTGTTTCTTTTTTCCCTGTTCGTTGCACCCTTTTGCAGAGGAGGAAAGACCCCGGCCCAAGTAAGTGTTCAGACTCTTCACAAGCATGCTTTGTATTTTCCTAATGTCTTCTTGCACTCATTCCCCTCAATCTCATGCTAATTCCCCTTTCTCACGCAGGCCTATGGTTCCACAACTTGCCCCTCCAAAGATTCCAGAGGGTGAGCGGGTTGATTTCGATGTAAGTACCAATTCACTGCAGTATTTCAGTCCAGTTCAGTTCATCTGTTTAAAATGAACTGGAAAAAGCTGTTTAGACTTTATGAAAATCTATATAATTTCCTCTCTCAGGATATTCACAGAAAAAGGATGGAGAAGGACTTTCTGGAGTTGCAGACTTTAATTGATGTCCACTTTGAGCAAAGGAAGAAAGAGGAGGAAGAACTGATCGGTCTGAAGGAGAGAATTGTAATTCCTGATCTTGATCATCTCAGTTTTTTCAAAAAACTTTCTACACTCTATTTTCTCTTTGCTTTGCACTAATTGTCGGCCATTCGGTCCTCAGGAGCGGCGGCGGTCAGAAAGAGCAGAGCAGCAGCGTGTTAGAGCGGAGAAAGAAAGAGACCGACAGACGAGGATTGCGGTAAATCAGAAATGAAACGTAAAATGCTCTCTAAGTCGTATGTGGAATTTAATACAAGATAAAATCGATGTAAAATGTATTATCTACGCTCTCTCATCAGGAAGAGCGTCAGAGGAAAGAGGATGAGGAGGCTAAGAAGAGAGCAGAAGACGAGGCCAAGAAGAAGAAGGTTTTGTCCAATATGGGGGCAAACTTTGGTGGCTTCTTAGCCAAGGTAAGTTACTGTTGTGTACATGTTTCTTACCATACGTACATTAATAATGCTTGTACAGCGCATATGCATTTTTGTGTTGTAGGCAGAGCAGAA